AAAATTTTGGAGGTGAAAAGTATAATTCAAATGTTTTTGTGTGTATAGGAATATTATGTGTGTGAGTGTAGTACCAGAGGAGGCCAGAAGAGGGCATCAGATTCCATGGAACTAGAGTTACAAGTGTTTGTGTGGCACCTGATGTGTGTGCTGGAAACCAAACTTGGATCCTCTGGAAGGGCAGCACACACTCTTAACCACGGAGCCATCTCTCTGGACTCTGTTCCTCTTCCTATAAAGCTCCTCCTGGGCTGGGAAGATGTTCTGTAGATAAAGATGTACATGCAAGCTTAAGGACTTGAGTTCAGATTCCGGCACCCATATAAAAGATGGCTGTTGGGGGCTGGAGAGATGGCTCAGTGGTTAAGAGCACTGGTTGCTCTTCCAGAGGTCCTGAGTTCAATTCCCAGCAATCACATGGTGGCTCACAACCATCTGTAATGAGATCTTGTGACCTCTTCTGGTGTACAGGTGTACGTGCAGACAGAAGACTGCAGACATAATAAATAAAAAAAAAAAGAGGGGGATGCTGGAACCCCAGCACTAGGCTGGCATAGAGGTCAAAGTCAGATAGATTCCCAGAGCTCTATAGCCAGCTAGTCCAGGGGAAATAGTGAGCTCCAGGCTCAGTGAGAGAAGCTGTCTAAAGAAAGAAGGTAGAGGGGCAGAGAGATGGCTCAGTGGTTAAGAGAACTGTCTGCTCTTCCAAAGGATGCAGGTTCAATTCCAAGCATCCACATGGCAGCTCACACCTGTATGTAACTCCAGTTCCAGGGCTTCTGACACCCTCACACAGATGTACATGAGAGCAAAACATTGATGAATGTAAAATAAAAATAAATTATTAAAGAGAGAGAGAGAGGGAAAGAAAGAAAGAAAGAAAGAAAGAAAGAAAGAAAGAAGGTGGAGAGAGTCGAAAGAAGACACCTGGCCTTGTCTTCTGGACTCCACATAGCCATGCACAGGTGAGAACACCCACACACATGTATGTAGACACATGTGTACACCACATATACACCACACGCAGAGAGAATTGAAATTTGCTCGTGGAATTCAAAGGCCAGTTTGAGCTGTCAGGAAAGTCAGCCAACTTGAAAACAGGAGAATGGGGGAAATTATCTAGTCTGAGAAATAAAAATGTTTTTTGATTTCTTTTTTGAGTAAAAGTGAACATAGTCTCTCAGACAGTCTGTAACACACAGATAAGTGAGCCAACACACACTGTGTGTTTTCCTTCCAGAGGGAAGGAAAGAAGAACAGAGAGATATTAAAAGAAAAGATGTCCAGATGGGCAGTGGTAGCGTGTGCCTCTACTCCTAGCACCTGGAAGGCAGAGGCAGGTGACTCTCTGTAAGTTCAAAGCCAGCCTGGTCTGCAGAGTGAGTTTCAGGTCAGCCAGGGCTACTCAGAGAAACTTGTCTCCAAAAACAAAAACAGAGAGAGAGAGGGAGGGGTGGGGGGGGGAGCCTTTATGTTCCCAGGTCAAATGAAATATAAACATATTAGAAAAAGTTCACCAGACTGCAAGTCAGAGGAGTTCAAGGACCCACAAACACAGGCAATAGTTAAACTTCTGACAGAAAGACATTCTGAGAATTTTGAATGCACTCCAGGAGTGGTAACACACGCCTTTAATCCCAGCACTTGGGAGGCAGAGAGAGAAGGATCTGTGTGAGTTTGAGGCCAACCTAGTCCACATAAAGAGACCCTGTCTCAAAAACCAAAATTAAAAACATAAAGCTGGGCAGTGCTGGTGCACACCTTTAATCCCAGCACTTGGGAGGCAGAGGCAGAGGCAGAACTCTGTGAGCTGGAGGCCAGCCTGGTGTACAGAGAGAGTTCCAGAATCACCAGGGTTACACAAGGAAATCTTGTCTTTAAATAAAGAAAGAAAGAAACAAAGAAAGACAGACAGACAGACAGACAGACCGCTATACGTTGAACAAGCAGGAGAGAAGCGATCTGCCGCACACAAGGGACTCTCAAAGGTCATCAGCAGATTTCTCATCACAGACTTCGCAATGGAACAGGTTTGTGTGGTCCTGGAAGTAAACAAGGGACTGTCGAAGTGGCTCCGAGGTTAAGAGTACTGGTTGCAGGGATACAGGACCTGAGTTTGGTTCTCGGCACCCACACGGTGGCTCACAACCACTTGTAACTCCAGCTCTAGAGGACTCAACACCCCATTCTGAGCTTGAAGGGGAGACTTCACCAGTGTGCACAAATCCACACTCTCACACATGTGCACATATGAAGCCAGAGAGCTGGCTCGATGATTGAGAACATTCACTGCAGCTGGGCAGTAGTGGTGCATGCCTTTAATCCCAGCACTCAAAAGGAAAAGGCAGGTGGATTTTGCAAGTTCAAAGCCACTCTGGTCTACAAAGCAAGTTCTAGGACAGCCAGAACTGCTACACAGAGAAACCTTGTCTCAAAAAAAAAAAAAAAAAAAAAAAAAAAAAAAAAGCAGAAAAAGAAGAACATTTGCTGCTCAGAGAGGAATTGGGTTCAGTTCCCAGCACCCACATGGCAGTTCACAGACCCAGCTCCAGGGGACCTGGCACCAGGTACACAAATAGTGCAGTTATATACACTCAGGCAAATATTCACACACATAAAAACAAATAAATAAATCTTTAAAAAGAAAGAAGACATGAAACAGTAAACAGAAAATCCTGGGTCCTGCAAAACTGTCCTTCAAGAGTGAGTAGAACGTTAAATACATTAACAGGTAGACAAGAGCAGGGAGAACCCCTTACACAGAGGCTACGGTCCAGCATGCTTCTGTCAGCCCTTCTAAGGAGAAAGAAATGCCAGTCAACAGCAGCCTGGAGCTGTGAGATGTAAGAGTTCAACAAAGCCACGGTGCACAGATGAGCCATTGCACACAGACAAGCCATTGCAAACGGTCGAGCCATTGCATAATAATCAGCCATTGCCCACAGATCGCCCATTGCACGTGGATGAGTCGATGCACAGTGACCAGCTGTTGCACACCATTCTAGTAAGGTTTTCTATTGCTGTGATGAAGTGATATGACCAAAGCAACTTGGGGAGGAAAGGGTTTCTTTGACTTATGCTTCCAAATCACTGTTCATCATTGAAGGATGCTAGGACAGGAACCTGGAGGCAGCAGTTGCTGCAGAGGCCATGAAGGCATGCTGCTTACTGGCTTGCTTCCCATTGCTTGCTCAGAACAAAGGATCACCAGCCCAGGGATGGTACCACTCACCATGGCCTGGGCCCTACCTCATCAATCACTACTTAAGAAAATGCCTTACTGCTGGATCTTATGGAGGCATTTCCTCAATTGAGGTCCTCTCTTTTCAGATGGTTCTAGTTTGTGCCAAGTGACATAAAACTAACCAAGACACACATGGATCAGTCGTTGTACATAGATGAGCCACTGCACATGGATGAATCATTGTATCCTGGCTTTGTGGCTGAGGATGACTTTGAACTGCTGATTCTATTGCCTCTATCTTCTTAGTTCTGGAATTATAGGTCTTTGTACCACACTCTTGACTCAATAATTTCATTACATGACTTTCTAATAAGAACTGGAGAAGACATCAGTGGCTATCAGGGCTGGTGAATGCAGGGTTTGGGATGGCTGTGTGAAGGCAGCAGGCCCAATCCTCCTGGCTCTCTGTGGCCGTCTGATCTGGGGGTGGCAGCTGCTGCTTGGTCTTTGCCAGCTCTCCACCTCTGAGCTCCTGTTCCCTCCTGGGTTTGTTTCTTCAGATCTCATGCATACATTAGGCGAGGTTAGGGTAATGTCAGCAGCGGTCCAGGTGTCTGCAGCGCTTGTGCGCTTTGTCAGCTCGCTGTGCCCTCCTGCCTGTGTGGACAACTTGCTGAGACTTTGAACTGGTCTCCCAGGCCCATGCCCACAGGCACACCCTGGTCCTTCAGTCACCAGGAAGTCCTAGGCTCTGAAATAGGTCATAACTTTAAAGAAGAAAGAAAGAAAGAAAGAAAGAAAGAAAGAAAGAAGAAGAGAAGAGAAGAGAAGAAAAGAAAAAAGTGCCTTGAGCCATTGACTCTTCAGTGAGGGTAATATTACCACCAGTAGCCCAGCCCCCTGAGACAAAGGATTGCTTGCCGGCCTTGAGGACCAGGGCTTAAATCAGTTCGTAGAAAGCTTGCCCACGAAGCCATGACTTGATCCCTAGTACCTCACAAAAAAGCTGTATATCTGTAATCCCAGTACTGGGGAGGAGGGTAGAGGCAGAAAGATGTGGTCTTTAGGGTCGTCCTCAGCTATGCAGGGACCTGGAGGCCTCGTGAACGCTAAACAAATATTGCACCGCTGGCCTGCAGCCCAATCTTTATTTAAAAGGTTTTTCTATTATTTGACTTATTATTTATTTATGGTGTGTGTCTGTCTGTCTGTCTGTCTGTCTGTCTGTGTCTGTCTGTGTCTATCTGTCTGTCTGTGTCCTCTGGCTATTCCCTTGTCCATTTTTGTTTATGGAAGATAGCCAAGTGCAGAGCCTCAGTCAGAGAAAGATCTGGTAATAACCAGGGACAGGGCCTGAGTCACACCACTAGGTGAGAGACTGGAAGCAGCTTTCTTAGCAGGAGTGCTGGCTGAGGAAGAGAGGTGCCCCAGTCAGTCATAGCGGCCCGGCCCTTGCCAAATTCATCTCCTTCCAAGTCTCCCTCTCTTCCTTTCTTTCCTCCTCCCCTTCCCCCACCCTCCTTTTCTTTTTAGTTTTTATTTTATTTTATTTTATCTTATCTTATTTTATTTTACAGACAGAGTTTCTGTAGCCCAAAAGGCCTAATCCCTCTAACTTTCCACTGGGAAGAGGGTCCATCTAGAGTCACCCCTAGAGTCCAGGAAGGATTGCCACTGAGGTGAAATGTCCCTTATAGTCTTTGAACAGTTGGTACAGAGAGGTGAACCTGCTTTGAAATGCTGTGGAGCCTTTGGGAGGTGGAGCCTGGTGGGAGGAAGAAATGTTGAAGGGCAGCTCTTACAGCTCACAGTCCAGCCAGCTTCTTCCTTCTCCGCTTCCTGCTCCGCCCAGACACTAACAATCAGTCTCCCACTCCGGCTGCCACGGGTGAGTGCCACTCCCAATGCCATGGTGGACAGTAGACCCTCAAACCTTGACTAAAAAGAAATCCTTCCTCCCCGAGTTGCTTTTTATCAGCTATTTGGACACAGTAACTAAACAAGTAACCAGTTCATGGGCCCAAACAGTAGGGACAGGGCTCTCCTGTGCTGCTTAGATCCCTTCCCCAACTGAAGCCCCTGCACCGCAGCAGCTGTGGGCAGCCCTGCTCCAGGTCACTCTCTGAGTGACCTCCATCTAATGACAGACTGGAGCAGGATTTGGAGAGGGGAGGAGGCTCAGTAGTTTGTGGTGGAGACTTTCATTCCTGATGACTCCTCCCTCTCTCCTGTTCTCTCCTCAGGCTCTTGCCTGGAACCCAACTCAAAGAGAGCGAGTCTGAGCTTGGCGGAGCAGCAGCTATCTGAAGAGAGCGAGCATCCTGTGGGAACAGGAAAGCTCTAAGCTTGACTGCTATGGACAAATAGGGCTGAAAGGGAGACACGAGGACCCATTTCCATGGGGTGGCCCCATTCTTCTGCATCCACCAACTGTCCCCACTGTGGCCACTCCAGTACTTGTGAATGGAATGGAGGTTTTTCTGTCCCTGGTGTCTGCAACCAGGCAAGAGGTAATGCTGGTCATTGGTGATAGACAGATTCTCACTCCGGCCCTCTGCATCCTTGCTGGGACAACGCTGCTCTGAAGTGTTTCCCCCACTGACACCACGATTCTGAGTAATCCTGAACCACAGTTGCCCACAGAGTTACCCAAACCTTCATGCCAGCTTCTTGCTTCCTTCCCCGCTTCCCTAACTTAATGCTGGAGCTTTCTGGGGTGGTCTCTACAGTCTTTTTCTTGGGGTCAGCTTCTGGGGAACCCAGGCTGAGAGGGATGGTCTGGGCTATATAACAGGAAGGAGCCTGTATCAGTCAGTCTTCTAGAGGAGCTGATGCAGTACAGTGGATACACACTCTGAAGGGGGTTTGTTAGCTTGCCTTGCATCATACAGGCTAGGGTGTCCAATGACGATCTGCACACCAGATGAGAACCTAGTTCGGTTCATAAAGCTGGACAGCTGAGCACTTCCAACTTGCCACTGAAGGCCTGGAAGGTTCCTAGAGCGCCACTGGTCTCCATTTCAGGGTGCGAGCAGAAGCAGCTGGGCTCCGGTGTAGGGGTGGCAGCAGCAACAGAACAGATGGACGCACCAGCCAGGGGCGGGCACTGGTTTGGACTGGTGGGATGGCTCAGTAGGCAAAGGTCCTGCTGCCAAGTCTGAGAGCATGCATGAGTTCCTTCCCTGGGACCCACATGGTGGAAGAAGAGCCATGGTTCCGACCAGTTGTCCTCTGGCTTCCACAGCTGCATCATGCTATGCAAATGTGTGTTCATATGTACACACACACATACACATAAATAAACATATAGCACAGCTTTTCTCTAAGACTTCCTTATATCTGGGCCGCAGGTGGAAGGCATCACTCCCTCTAGGACAGGGTTATTCTTCCGTCCAGGAAATACTCTTCCAGACTTGCCCATAGGCGTGTCTTTAATTGATTCCAGATCCAATCAAGTTGATAGCTGTGGTGGTTTGAATGAGAACAACCTCTATAGACTCTTATATTTAAACACTCAGTTAGAAGTCGATGAAACTATTTGGGATTAGGAGGTGTGACCTTGCTAGAGGAGGTGTCCCATTCAGGGTGGGCTTTGGGTTTTTAAGGCCATGTCAATCCTAGTTGTCATGTTCTTCCTATGCCTTGGTCTTGGGACTGAGTTGTAAGCTTTCAGCAAGTGCGCCATTGCCACACCTGTGCCTTCACCTGTGCCTTCACCTGCAGCACACATTTTCGTTGCACCTCTGCCCTCAAACACATACGCATGCATACATAACACATAAAAAAATGAAAGAGAGGAAGGATGGAGGAAGGAAGGCAGGAAGGAGGAAGGAAGGAAGGAAGGAAGGAAGGAAGGAAGGAAGGAAGGATACTCAAACCAAGTGTAGAGATTCCTTTCCACTTGACAGCAACCAGCAGTTCCTCCCTTGTTTACAGAGGACCTGTCCTAGGACCTGAAGTGGGTGCCTGAAACCTCTGCTAGTACTAAAGCAAAATAGTATATGCTTTGGATTTCCTTCCTTCCTTCCTTAGGTTTATTTTGTTTTTATTGATGTGAGTATGTGGGAGTATGCACATGCATCTAGGTGCTTCAGAGGCCAGGAGAGAGCGTCAGATCCCTTGGAGCTGGAGTCACAGGTGGTTGTGAGCCACCTGACATGGGTGTTGAGAATAATATTTCCGTACTTTGGAAGAACAGGAAGCGTGCACCCATCTCTCCAGCCCCGAAAATGGAACTCTCCAAATAGTCAATTGTCATAAAGAAGACTTAATATCCCATCTGTGTCCTCCGTGGAGTGGATGATGTGGCCCACCTTGGGGAAGGTTGCTGCTGTTCTTTGTCCACTGATTTGCTGACTTATTTCTTCTAGAAACATCCTTCACATGCACCAGAAAACAGTGTTTATCCAGCTATCTGTGCACCCTGAGTCCAGCCAGGCTAAGAAATGTTATTGACCATGGCGTCCAAAGGACAGCACAAGCCTTCCTCTCTGCTCTGGTGAGCCAGCCCTTGACTCCTTACCTGGGAAGTCATGTCCCCTGGGACCAGCGGGAAGCAGTCTTTAATCTCTCAGAATATGATCTGGGGAAATCATCACCTCAGCTTCTGGTACGGGAATCACCGTTCCTTGGAACTTACCAAGAGACAAGTCGGCTGCCCGAAGTGTACTCCTATGAGGAGACCGTGAGGGAGGGATGATGTCATAGATTCATCCTTGCCAGAGGCTTAGCTTAGGAAGGCTCTCAGTCCATGCAGCAGCAGGGAGGCACCTAAGAAAAGTCTCAAGTGTTTGGAGAAGGTTATAGAACAGTGTCCCTCCTCCTCCTCAATGTCCTCCAGAAATAATTGGCACATACCTGGCCAAAGGAACTAGAATCTTCAGGCTTTTGCCTGGAGCTGATCTGTGAACTAAGCCAGTCCTGGATGTGATGATGGAAACATCACAGACAAACATTGCAGAGCTCCCTGGGTCAGAGACACCGTGGGAAGACTGGAGATGTGTTTACCGAGTGGGAGCCAAACTCAATTTGCTTTTTGTTGTTGTTTTTTGTTTTGTTTTCCAGCTTCACCCTCTAATTTGAGTACATTTCCCATAGAACATAGAGTTCAATTTTAGAATTTTCCAACATGCACTCCTGAATAATTGGAGCCCAGAGACCCTTCTAGCTGACCTAAAGTCTGGCGTCTACATGGGCAAGCCACCTGCCAGGGAACAAATGACTCTTCAAGTCTCTTCCTACTGAACAGGTTTTTAGTTCTAGGAACTATGCAGCTTAAATCAAACCATTTCTCCCCCTGAGACAGGGTTTCTCTCTATAACCTTGGAGCCTGTCTTCAAACTCACCCTGTAGATCAGGCTGGTCTTGAATTCGCAGAGATTCACCTGCTTCTGCCTCCTAAGAGCTGGGATTAAAAGTGTGCATCACCACTGCCCAGCCCATTTTTTTTAAACTGTGGCTCATGGCTTCATTCTGTCAACAAGATGTTTGTCAACAAATTCACCCATGCTGTTGGTAATAGTAGCTCATTCCTTTGTATTTGAGTAGCATTTGGGTTGTTTGTTTGTTTGTTTGTTTGTTTTGAAATGGGGCTTCTCTGTGTTGCCCTGACTGTCCTAGAACTGCTCTGTAGATCAGGCTGACCTTGAATTTAGAGATCTGCCTGCCTCTGTCTCCCAAGTACTAGGATTAAAGGCATGAGCCACCACTGCCTGGCTGGCATCTGGGTTCTTTACAGTTTTTGCCTAAAATAAATACAACTGCACATAAAGATGAATACCAAAAAAGAAAAAGACTAGGCATGATGCTACATGTCCATAATCCCACAGGACACAGGCATGTTTAAGGCAGCTTGGGCAGCATAGTAAGATACTACCAGGAAGAGAAGAGAGGAGGGAGGGGGAGCAGACAGGAGGAAAGGAAAACAGAAGAGAGGGTGAGGACAGGGAAGGAGACTGAAAGTAAGGAGAGAGAAATTTAAGAAGAAAGGAGGAAGACGGGACAGAGAGGAGAGGGGGAGGGAGAGAGAAAGACGGTTCAGCTTTCTGCTACTATAACAAAATGCCTGAGACAATCCAAGAGCAAAGGTTTTTTGTCGGCTTAGTTTTACAGGTTTCAGTTCACCTTTGGTTACCCTGTTGCTTTTGGATCTGGTGAGGCAACATCTAGGCCAGAAGTACTTGGTGGAGCAAAACCTCACTCACCTCACAGCAGGGGAAGTAAAAGAGAGGGAGAGGAAAGGTCTTCAACCCCCAATAACAACGCCCCATCTTTTAATGCTTATTTATTTACTGTTATTGTTTGTTTGTTTTTGTTTTTCAAGGCAGAGTTTCTTGTGTAGCTCTGGTTATCCTGTGCTGTGGGACAATGGTCTATGTACCCTGTCACTTACATTGTATTGTTCTAATAAAATGCTGATTGGCCAGTAGCCAGGCAGGAAGTATAAGTGGGGCGACCAGGCAGGAAGTATAGGCAGGGCAACCAGAATAGGAGAATTCTGGGAAGAGGAATGAGTCAATCTGCAGTTGCCACCCAGACACAGAGAAAGCAAGATGAGAACATCTCTCTGATAAAAGGTACCAAGCTACGTGGCTAACACAGACAAGAATTATGGGCTAATTTAAGATGTAAGAATTAGTTAATAAGAAAGCCTGAGCTACTAGGCCAACCAGTTTATAATTAATGTAGACCTCTGTGTGTTTCTTTGGGATTGAAAGGCTGCGGGACTTGGCGGGACAGAATCTCTGTCAATAATCCCGGAACTCACTCTGTTGTCCAGACTGGTCTTGAACTCACAGAGATCCACCTGCCTCTGCCTCCCAAGTGCTGGGATTAAAGGTTGCTACCACCTTCCAGCAGCATGAACCTGGAGACCAAGCTCTTACCACATTCCAGACCAGGAGTACAGGATAGATAAGTTGCATCTGTGGTGGTGGACACCTTTAGTTCCAGTACTTGGGAGGCGGAAACAGGCAGATATCTGTGAGTTCTTGGATAACCTGGTCCACAAAATGAGACCCTGTCTCAAAACAAAATAAGATAAATGAGTAAATAGCCCAGTGAGGAATGGACACTGCCTCCTCCCAGTTCCAAGCTCCTGAACCCTAAGAAGGAAAAGAAGTGACTTTCCAGGTGGCATTACATCACGAAGAGGCACAATGGAACCAACTTCACCAGGAGGCTCAAACTGAGGTACTTTGCCATCTGCCAGGATGCAGCCAGAAGACATCCTTCTGAGACCATCTGGCCAGTGAGCCCTGACCTTGATCTGATCACAAGGAAACATCAGAAACCCAAATTGAGGGGCATGCTTCAAGATGGCAGGTGAGGCTGCTCAAGGGATAGAAGCAGATCTGAATCCCATCTCTGGAGCCACACGGTGGAAGGAGAGAAACACTTCCTCAAGTTGTTCTCTGACCTCCACATGCTCATTGCATGCATGCACACATGCACACACACACACACAACAATAAATAAAATAAAACATGAAAAAAAATACAAAGTCAAAGCTCTGTTATTTCTTGGTTTGTTCTTTTGAGACGATCATCCCCCTGTACTGTGGACTAGGACGGGTGGCAACCCTGCTGTCTCAGTTTCTCAAGTGTTGGGATTACAAGTGTGAGCCCCACACTCAGCTCTGCTGGTCCTCAGGTGACGTCTCTGTTGCTGTGATTAAACACTGACCGAGACAACTTGGGTGAAAAAGAGTTTATCTCACATTTCAAGGCAGAATGTTGAAAATGTGAAGGAATATCGTTTATGGCTTGTTCCCAGGCTTGCTCAGCTTCCTTCCTTACACATCCCAGGCCCATCTGTCCAGGAGAGATGCCACTCACAGTGGGCTGGTCCTTCACACATCAATCAAGAAAATGTCCCCACAGACCAAGGTATGCTTTTATATATATATATATATATATATATATATATATATATATATATATATTGAGCTCTACATTTTTCTCTGCTCCCCTTCCTGCCTCTCCCCTCCACCTTTCAGCCCTCCCCCGAGGTCCCCATGCTCCCAATTTACTCAGGAGATCTTGTCTCTTTCTACTTTCTACTTCCCATGTAGATTAGATCTCTGTAAGTCTCTCTTAGTGTCCTCATTGTTGTCTAAGTTCTCTGGGATTGTGGTTTGTAGGCTGGCTTTTTTTTGCTTTATGTTTAAAAACCACCTATGAGTGAGTATATGTGATAATTGTCTTTCTGTGTCTGAGTTACCTCACTCAATATAATGTTTCCTAGCTCCATCCATTTTCCTGCAAAATTCAAGATGTCGGTATTTTTTTTTTTTTTGCTGTGTAGTACTCCATTGTGTAAATGTACCACATTTTCCTTATCCATTCTTCGGTCAAGGAGCATTTAGGTTGTTTCCAGGTCTGGCTATGACAAACAAAGCTGCTATGAACATAGTTGAGCACATGTCCTTGTGGCACGATTGAACATCCTTTGAATATATACCCAAAAGTATTACTGGGTCTCAAGGAAGGTTGTTTCCTAATTTTCTGAGAAATCTCCACACTGACATCCAAAGGGGTTGTACCAGCTTGCATTCCCACCAGCAATGCAGAAGTGTTCCCTTTTCTCCACAACCTCTTGAGCATAAGTTGTCATCAGTGTTTTTGATCTTGGCCATTCTTGCTTTGTTGTTTTTTGAGACAGAGTTTCTCTGTGTAGCCCTGGCTGTTCTGCAACTCACTTTATAGACCAGGCTGGCCTCAAACTCACAAAGATCTGCCTGCCTCTGCCTTCTGAGTGCTGGGATTAAAGGTGTGCACCATCCCTGCCCAGTGATTCCACAGTCCAAAGTAATGGAAGCAGTTCCTCAGTTGAGGTTTCTCTTCCCAGGCATGTCTAGGGTTGTGTTAATGAAACTCGCAACTGTATCTCCCTGAGTCCATGCATTAGCAACTTTATCTTCAGGGTCACACTTTCATTGCATTTGGAGGTGGGAATTTGGGACAGTTATGGTTAGAAGAGGTCCTGGGGGTAGGACTCTCTATGACAACATCAGCGGCTGTTTTTGTACGACATGCATATGTGCATTGCATGCATGCGTTTGTGCATGTAGAGGACACTGACAATCTCAGGTGTCATTCTTCAGGAATTGTCCACCTTTTCTTTCTTTCTTCCTTTTTTTTTTTTTTTTTTTTTTTTGGATAGGGTCTCACTATGTAGCTTTGGCTGTCCAGGAACTCACTATATAGATGAAACTGACCAAAAACTCATAGAGAGCCTCTGCCTCTCAAGTGATGGGACTAAAGGCGTGGGCCACCATGCCCGGGTTTTTTTTTTTTTTAAAGACTTATTTATTTTTATGTTTATGGGTGCTTTATTTGCATGTGTGTCTACGCACCTCATGTGCGCAGTACCTTCACATGAGAGAGGTCACAAGATGGCACCGGAGCCTCTAGAAATGGAGTTACAGATGACTGTACACTGTCATGTGAGTGCTGGGAATCGAACTTGGGTCCTCTGGAAGAGCAGCCAGTGATCTTAACCACTGAGTTATCTCTCCAGCCTCCATCTTGATTTTTGAGCCAGGGTCTCTCACTGACTGGATACTTGTTAAGTAGTCTACACTGGCCAGTTCGCTCCAAGGATTCACCTGTCTCTGCCTCCCATACACTGGGACTGCAAGCCAATGACCATTCCTGGCCTTTCATGTGGGTTCTGTAGGTTAAACTCAGGTCCTCACACTCGACAGCAAGCATTTCATGACAGAGCATCTCTCCAGCCCACGAGGAGCTTTATAAAATGTGAATCAGAGGGACAGGAGAACTGGCTGAGTGGTTAAGATCACGCTCTTTTCTGGAGGGCCCAAGTTCAGTACCCAGTACCCCTCAGGTGTTCACAGCTGTACCCCTCAGGTGTTCACAGCTGCCTGCTGCTCTAGCGGATCTGATGCCGTCTTCTGGCCCCCAATGGCACATACTCACATGCTCAGAACCACAGAAGTATGCATAATCAAAAATGAATCTTAAAAAAAATAAAAGGAACAAAGACTTGAACTAGCAGTGTTCTCCCGTCTCACTGTGTGAAGAGCCATCCAGAAGGCAGACACCAGACATAACATCATGGTCTAAGATTTGCCAGATTGCCCCAACTAATAAACTCCTATCCTTGTCAATGACCTAGCTGCTTAGCCACAGATATGTGGTTATCATAACAAAAGAAGGATGAATAGAGTCCTCTGTGCTTACTTCCAGGCGTGTGAGTTAAGAAAATAGTATCTCATTGAAAATAAATTTGTAAATTTTGGAAATTAGTATTACAAATATAAATTGCTTCAAAGGGTCTAGATTTAGTTGTGTGTATGGGGGGGGATTAAATGATGCTGTGTTGTGGGAACTCTAAGAATGACATCTTTTGACCACATTTAACTTGGTGTCTGATTATCCCAGGTAGATGCCCTGAACAAAAATCCAATGTTGTTCATTGCTTCCAAGTTCAAGAGTATGAAGAAGAAACGCCATCAACTGAGCATCTTTGAACCCCTAGAGCTGGAAGAGGTGTCAGCCCCCTTATCCTTGAAGCACCAACTCTGGAAAGTTAAGTAACTCCTCCCCACTCCCTCCCAGAAATCATAACTGAATGAGGATCTGTCCTCCACGTGGCATTCCAGGGGCAGCCTTAAAGGCTGGAGAGGCAGCAATGAAGAAGACAAGGCCCCTTACGGGGAAAGACTAACGGCTCACGAGAGTCAGCTAATAGAACAGTAAGTCAAAGAGGTAAGGTCCTGGGTCACTGGAGATCTGTGCCACTACAGGCATTAAAGGACGAAGGGGACAGCACTAGAGCTGAGTGACAGAAGTGTCTGA